AACATATGCCATATTCCTTAAACCCACAAAATGAAAGTAAAAAAAAACCTTCTTGGGCTTCCAGGTGCGCTTGTCATAATGTGCAAGTATGTACAGCATGTTTTCACAGCATTGCACACTTTCTTGAAAAGAGCTCTTCTCCAGTGATGCAATATCCATTGTTGCCAGTGCTTTCATCTTCTCCCCCTCTTTTAGGTATAGGGGCTTCCACCGTGTTGTTTGGTTGGTCTGGCATGTGGTATCTCCCACTCATGCATGGGGGGGAGGGGGTACTTCGTCCCAGCATTGACAATCAAATCAAAACTAAACTTACCTCCCATCTCTTCCTTGCCAGCACTGACATCTTTGTCCTGTCTTTTTCCAGAAATAAAGATCTTCAGCCATTTTGATTGACCGGACTGAAATGATGTAACTCTCACATGTGCACACAGGAGTTCATTCATTTCAGCACAATGCACACTAAAGAAGATTGCAAACAGGAAGATACATTTCTATTTTTTGTTGAAGAAGAGACATAGACTGTTTTTTCTGCAATAAAATGCCTGCCTGTTTGCAATTTTGTTTTTTCAATTTAGTTCCACGATAAAGAGTCAGAAATATGACAATGAGATGCACTTGCATGACTGTCAGTATGCAATTAGAAAGAACTGCTGGCGGGCAAGGGAAGTGTTAACTTCAACTTTAGTTCCACTTTATTATTACTAAACCACAAGTGGCAATCTCACAGACACAATCTGTTTATCAAGGTTTCCGCCCAAGATTCACACATTTTTTCAGTTGTGTCTATTGGAAAATAAATACACCACACAAACCTCAGGGCAAAATACAATTTAAATGAAAAATAATCAAACTCTTCTATTACATATGGTTTTCTGCACACAAACAAATGTGTAAAAAAACACCCTTTTATTGGATTTGGTGGTAGCAAAAATAAGCCTCATCATTGGTGTAGATGGGCTTAAAAAAGAGCCCCATCATCATTGTCGGTATAAAAATAAGTCCCATTTTTGGTGTCAGGAGAAAAAATAAATCCTATCACTGCTGTCAGTGGAAGTAGAAATATTTCCTATCATAGATATCAGTGAGAGGAAACAGGTGTTATTATTCATGTCAGTGGGAGCAAACCTAGATGTTATGGTTGGTGTCAGTAGGCAGAAAATAATCCCCAGAACTGGTGTCCAGTGGTTACCACCTTAATCATGCGCTGCACTCCCACACTACTGCTCTTTATTGATAACTCTTCCGAAACTGTTGGACAGGAGCTTAGTCTGCAGTGTCGGCATAATTGCAGATTTTTTCCTTGCTGGAGATGCTCCACAGTCAATAGGATGATTTGGGATCTCTCTTACCTGATGGTCTTTGAAGCAACACTTTCCAGTAGGCAAAAAGGGTCAGCTGATTTCAAGTAAAAATAGCCATATATCAAAAAGAAAAAATACCCACTCTGCACCAAATGGATATGCATACACCCCTAATGAACCAATTGATAATCATAAAAGATGTAACACACCAACAACCAATGTCACTGCAGTACTTAATAACCCCAAAAAGTATAAAATAAATTATGTCTATAATGCATTATATGCTACTGTGCACTGATATACTGCATACTTTATCTCACAAGGATGAATAAAAAACATTCAGACCCTGTTCACATCAGAACACAGTTCCAGAAACCACCATTCTGTACACAATTTCCTCCACCATGTACAAAGCGCACTGCAGTTGCAATCTGCGGCAGGTGTCAATGTTAACAACACACCCGAACGCAGGTCACATACGCAGAAGTATCATGCGATCAGGTTGCAGTGAGTTTCCAAAAGTAGTGCATGTACTGCTTTTGGTGAAGTACAGTGCGATTTGAGACCATTCGAAATGAATAGGCTCAAATCACACCACACTGAACTGCATGTGAATTGCACAGGAATGCACAACGTGAAAGGTATCACTGTGGATTGTTCTAGAGCAGTGCACAGGAGGACATTTATTGTAGGGTGGAAAGATTTTTTTGGTACATGCTTTTTTTTCACAGAGCAATAAATGATTGAAGTGGACACTTTGTTTCTTTTCACATTGGTTTATTAAACATTTTGTATCACTATTGGATTTGTTTTGTCATGCAAACACAGGACACCATTGTATTTTTATCTTTACATTTTCACTGACACAATAATTATAATTATACAAGATTTACATAGAGCCAACAGTTGTGCAGTGCTTTACAATATAAAGGAAGACAGTACGATTAGAATACAGTTCAACACAGGAGAAAACAAGAGGCTCCTGCTCATGGAGCTTACAATGTAAAGGGAGGAAGAGGTGGTACAGAAGCTAGGTAACCAGGGAATTAATAATTTTTTTGTGTCATAGGGTGCCGTTAGCTAACCATAGTATAGGTATATTTTAGATGGGCAAATTTATAGTACATTAAGGCTGGCCATACATTATACAATTATCTGCAGATTTTTGGTTTAGATTTACCAAAAACCATATAATAGGAGGACAAACCTAAACAACACTTTCAGTTGTATCCAATTAGGCAGGCCCTTGCACTACATAGTTGAAGGTAAATCTAAAGGAAATTGGGCAGAAAATCTGCAGATAATTGTATAATGTATGGCCAGCCTTAGGCTCCATTCACACCTTAGCGTTTTGTAGCTCGAACCTCCAGAATGCTCAGTGTTTTCAGTTGTGCCTGTTCACACCTGAGTATAGTGTTGCTTGAAGCTTGTAGCTAGGGAAAGTACAGTACATGAGCTTCTTTTTAGCTTCAAACCTTAAAGCTTCCAGCATTATTGGTCTCAACAGGCTTCCATGAGAAAGCTTCAAAAATGTGTGTATTGCATGATGTTTTTCTCTTAGTAACTGACTTTTCATTGGCTTACATAGTTTAAGAAATAAATGCTCAAGCAAAAACACCTGAAAAAAAAACTCATAAATGCCAGTACAAACGCTATCAAAAGCCTGTATAACCAACTAGAAATGATCAGCTCAAGTATGAATGCAGACTAAGACTTTATAAACCTTTCAGGAAAATTCAGCATTGCCAGGTAGGCAGGAAAATACTTAAAGCATAAGTTCACCTTTGGGACAATGTTACATGTCCCAACCGTTTTTAGGGTGGAACATGTAACATGTTCCCAATGCTGCAGCCACTGCTCTATCAGTGACAGGAGTACAGGGAGAAGTCCCCTTGACTACAGTACCTTGAAAAAGTATTCATACCCCTTGAAATTTTCCACATTTTGTCATATTACAACCAAAAATGTAAATGTATTTTATTGGGATTTTATGTGATAGAGCAACACAAAGTGGCATGTAATTGTGTAGTGGAAAGAAAATGATAAATGGTTTTCAACATTTTTTACAAATATCTGAAAAGTGTGGCATGCATTTGTATACAGCTGAGTCAACACTTTGTAGAACCACCTTTCGCTACAATTACAGCTGCAAGTCTTTTTGGCGATGTCTGTACCAGTTTTGCTCATCTAGAGAGTAATTTTTTGCCCATTGTTCTTTGCAAAAAAACTCAAGCTCTGTCAGATTGGATGAAGAGCATCTATAAACAGCAATCTTCAAGTCTTGCCACAGATTGTCAATTAGATTTTGGTCTGGACTTTGACTGGGCCATTCTAACACACAAAATATGCTTTGAGCTAAACCATTCCATTGTAGATCTGGTTGTATGTTTAGGGTCGTTTTCCTGCTGGAAGGTGAACCTGCATCCCAATCTCAAGTCTTTTGCAGACTCTAACAGGTTTTCTTTTAAGATTTCCCTGTATTTGGCTCCATCCTTCTTCCCATCACCTCTGACCAGCTTTCTTGTCCCTGCTGAAGAAAAGCATCTCCACAACATGATGCTGCCACCACGTTTCACAGTGGGGATATTGTGTTCAGGGTGATGTGCAGAGTTAGTTTTTCGCAAGTTTGCTGAATCCCCCATATGGCTTCTCGCAAACTGAAAACGGGACTGTAAGGGATCCGGGTATGACCAGGGATGTGTGGACTGACACAGGGAAACAGCAGGCTTCAGAAATGATTAAATAATAATAATATTTATTATGAGCTGCACAAAATAAACAAACACAGTGAAAAACAAAACAAACCTTAAACTAATAGGTATAGGTGCAGTCAGGGCTGGAGAGGTGGAGTGTCAGGAATGGACTTGCCAGTGGTGGTGGGACTCACCTGCCTTGTGGGCTGCAGTACCGGGGCTGGCCAGCGGGTGCTGTCAGCAACCAGAGGCTCACTCCTGCAATGAGCCATCACCTGAAGCTGATTACAACAGGTGTATTTAAGGAATGGCCAGGCCTGTGATCAGGGCCTTGGTGTATGTTTCCCATGGGCCCCTGTACCTGCATCCTGTCTGCTTTCTGCCTCATCCAGATTCTGCCTGATCCAGATTCTGCTTCGATCCCTAACTCTGCATGATCCCTGTCCTGACCTCGGCTATTTCTGACTACTCTTCCGCCTGCTCCTTGTGCCCTTCCTGCCCGTTTGCTACCGACCCGACCTGCCCGACTACGCTTAGTATTGTTTCCATTGTTATCTGTTGGAGGTTTGGGTTGGTTGGTTTGCACTGTGTTTGTTGTTTAGTCTTGCACTGCGTTTATGTTTTGTTTAGTCTTAATAAATTGTCTTATTCACACTATACCTGAAGTCTGCGTTTCCCTGTGTCAGTCCACACATTTCTGGTCATACCCGGATCCCTAACATGGAGTGGTCAGGCAGGCCGGGTCAGGAACAATCAGGCAGAAAGGTACAACAGGAGCAGGCAGAAGAATGGTCAGGAATAGCCGGGGTCAGTGCAGGCGGAGTTCTATCAGAGTCAAGCAGGAGAGTCGAGCAGGCAGGAGACAGGATACAGGAAACAGGGCACATGGGAAACAAACACCAAGGCACTGACTGCAGGTCTGGCCATTCCTTAAATACACCTCCTGCAATCAGCCTCAGGTGATGGCTGATTGTAGGAGTGAACTTCTGGTTGCTGAGAGCACCCGCTGGCCAGCCCTGGTACTGCAGCCCACAAGGCAGGTGAGTCCCACCACCATTGGTGAGTCCATTCCTGACAGTACCCCCCCCAAGGAGTCCACCGCCCGGGTCAGGTAACTGGCTGAATATCAGGGGCTGGCACATCAGGCTGGGCAGCGGACGGAGGCACGTCAGGCTGGGCAGCGGACGGAGGCACGACAGGCTGGGCAGCGGACGGAGGCACGACAGGCTGGGCAGCGGACGGAGGCATGTCAGGCTGGGCAGCGGACAGAGGCACATCAGGCTGGGCAGCCGGCAGAGGCCCTCAGGCGGAGCAGCGGGCACCGGGCCATCAGGAGGAGCAGCGGGCACCGGGCCATCAGGTGGAGCAGCGGGCACCGGGCCATCAGGCTCGACATCGAGCACGAGTCATCTGGCAGAACAGCGGGCACCGAGTCATCTGGCAGAATAGCGGGCACCGAGTCATCTGGCAGAACAGCGGGCACCGAGTCACCAAGCTCGACAGCGGGCACCGGGACAACTGGCACGACAGCGGGCACCGGGTCAACTGGCACGACAGCGGGCACCGGGTCAACTGGCACGACAGTGGGCTCCGAGTCATCTGGCACGACAGAGGGCTCCGAGTCATCTGGCAGAACAGCGGGCTCCGATTCATCTGGCACGACAGCGGGCACCGAGTCATCTGGCATGACAGCGGGCACCGATTCACCAAGTTCGACAGCGGGCACCGAGTGACCACAAGCTCACTCCTGCAATCAGCAGCCTCAGGTGATGGCTGATTGCAGGAGTGAGCTTCTGGTTGCTGAGAGCACCCGCTGGCCAGCCCTGGTACTGCAGACCCCCACAAGGCAGGTGATTCCCACCACCATCGGCGAGTCCATTCCTGACAGGGACTTCTTATGGCTTTCTTTCAACAATGGCTTTCTTCTTGCCACTCTTCCATAAAGGCCAGATTTGTGGAGTGCACGACTAATAGTTGTCCTGTGGACAGATTCTCCCACCTGAGCTATGGATCTCTGCATCTCCTCCAGAGTTACCATGGGGCTCTTGGCTGTTTTTCTGATTAATGCTCTCCTTACCGAGCCTGTCAGTTTAGGTGGATGGCCATGTCTTGGTAGGTTTTCAGTTGTGCCATACTCTTTCCATTTTCGGATGATGGATTGCACCATGATCCGTGAGATGTTCAAAGTTTGGGATTTTTTTTATAACCTAACCCTGCTTTAAACTTCTCCACAACTTTAACCCTGACCTGTCTGGGGTGTTCCCTGGCTTTCATGATGCTTTTTGTTCACTAATGTTCTCTAACAAACCCCTGAGGGCTTCACAGAACAGCTGTATTTATACTGAGATTAAATTACACACAGGTGGACTCTATTTACTAATTAGGTGACTTCTGAAGGCAATTGGTTCCACTAGATTTTAGTTAGAGGTGTCAGAGTTAAGGGGGGCTGAATACAAATGCACGCCACACTTTTCAGATACTTATTTGTAAAAAATTTTGAAAACCATTTATAATTTTCCTTCCAGTTCACAATTATGTGCCACTTTGTGTTGGTCTATCACATAAAATCCCAATAAAATACATTTACGTTTTTGGTTGTAACATGAAAAAATGTGGAACATTTCAAGAAGTATGAATACTCTTTTCAAGGCACTGTAGCTGTCACTTTTTAAAATCAGTGCAGCCATGTGGGGCTCAGCCCACATGGCTGCATCATTCATTCAGCGTTCTGTGAATGAGCTACAAGTCTCGACAACCATAGCAGCTGTTGGCTTGTAGTTCTCAATGAACTACCACGGCACTGAATCCTGTCAGTATATCTGCTTGCCTGCAAAAAAAATGTGTATTTATTATTTGTTGTCAAAAGGTGAACTTATCCTTTATTTTCCCTTGTTAAGGCTCTATGCTAAGGGATGTTCCAGAGCAGGTACATGCAAGTCTGCATTTTTCTACAGCACAGAGGGAGCCTTTTCTCTATTTTCTCCTTTTAGATATCCATTTTTCTTTTTTTTCTATCCCCCCCCCACCCCCCTTCCCCCACACACACACACACTTTGATTATAGCTGTTTCAGCTACATTATTCTATTAAAAATGGTTGTTTGAATTTCATTGACTGACCATTATATCTTATTGATCTGTATTTTTTTTCTACTGTATCTAGTACCTGTAGTTTTTAACTTTGGGTTACTGTAGTGTTATTGTTTTTAATTATTATCTCAATAAAAAGTTATTCAAATGTTATAGACAATATTGTAACTAGGACTTTGTTTTACTTATATTTTTGTTCATGCCTCTTAAAATGTGCAGATTATGGGGTATTTATATGTACAAAAGTCTCCATCCATTACAACCGCCTATATAGATAGGTGCTGTGGTCAGTGTCCTCAAACATTTAGTCATATAATCTATGTATAAAAGAGAGCAGCTTGATGTAAATAATCCTATTAGTTTGTGGTGGTGTTTTAGAAACCTTGCTTTTATGTATAGCTTGTTGTATAGCCCCTTTATGTGTACACATAAGGGTAGTCATGTTTGCTTACTACATATTCAACCTACATGTCTTCAAGGGTGCCCTGGATGTCCTCATCTATAATGTCACTTGTGGCATGAATACCCATCTTCCTAAGCAAAAGAATTCCAAGGGTCAGTCTGGAAAGACACATTTCTTGTTGGAGGCCATGATTAGTCACTTTCGTCAATCCCCCAAGCCCTCAGTAAATGTGCTTCATAATGATGATGCACCCACACACTATAAAAAGTGGAGGGAAGTCTGTTAGCCTTTGTGGACTCTTGGACAGCCTATATCTTAGATGCTTCAGATCTCCATGCAACCCTGATGGTTTTTCTGGAGCAGGATGTCATTTCTCCAGTCTCTTTTGCAAAACAATTTCAGGAGTTCTACAAATTGTTTAAAGTCCCTAAACCAAAGGGTGTTCCTCAAGGCCCTGAATGTTGTTTTTGGACCTAGAAATTCTGCATGGAAACTACCAGGTCTGTCATAGACTCTCTACATCAGGGTGACTTATTGGCCTCTGTGGACCTCAAGGACGCTTACCTACATGTTCCCATTTTGCCAGTGCATTTCTATACTTTACTGTTGGTCCTTTGCACTTCCAGTTTGTGTCCCTGCCATTCAGCCTATCTTCTGCACCTTGGCTGTTCCCCAAGGTGCTGAGCATTGTGCTTTCCTTGCTGCTAAGGGAACAGTTAGTGTGGGTTATGGCAATGTAGCCCTGACTAACCAGAACTTGTAAAGGTTTAGCTATTGTTTGTAACATATAGGTCTGATCCTAGACACAGCTCAGGTCATAATTTTTCTCCCTCAGGGGATACTTCAAACTGTCTGCTTCCAGAGTCAGCCAGAGGTCACCCAACTCTTCGCTTCTGCATGACAGTCCTGGGGCTGATGGTAGCTGCGTTCGAGGCAGTCTCATTTACTTAGTTTTATTCGAGACCACATACAACGCAACATTCTGTCATCATTGGATAAGTCAGGCCAGTCTTTGGACAGACTGATTTATCTGGCTAAATAAACCAGATTGTCCTTTCTTCTTGAAGATCCTGACGATGGATGCCAGCCTGTCTGAATGAGTAGCTGTCATAGGCACTCAGGGAACTGTGGACAATTCAGTTGTCTTTGCAAAGCAGGACCCCCCTGGCTGGAGAGGCGAGAGGCATAAACTATCATGGTGTAACCAGAAGTCAAGAGAAATTGAGTGAATCCTGCCTTGGGCAAAGCTTCACGTTCCACCCTTGTCTGTCATTTACACACCTCAGGCTTGAACAATTGGCAGGCAGACTTCCTAAGCCAGCAGTATTTGGATCTACAGTAATAATATCTATACCCAGAGGTATCTGAGGACTTGTATTACAGGTGGAGGATGGCTCCTGGCTTCCATGTTAAACAACAAACTGGACAGCTTTGCTTGCAGGTAGAGGGATCTTTTGCAGAAGCAGAGAAAGCTCTGGTGCCTTCCCTAAAACTTCTTCCTCACCTACAGACTGAGATAAAGGATATTCTAGTTATCCTCATAGCTGCAGACTGACCCAGGTGGATGTGGTCCACAAGGACCAATTTACCACACTGCTTCATGGCTGCTGGCATTAATGACACATCTGTGGAAACCCAGGCCCTGAACTGATTTTTCCAACAATGCTAAAAGTTAGCATGTCTGCTTCTTGCAAGGTCTACCACTGTGTGTGGAAGATGTTTTCTTTGTTTGCTGTTGCCCATCCCTCAGCTGGACTGCATTTGGTCCCCCTATTGTTACAAGGGTCACCATGCATGCTACATTATGATCATACAATTTTTGCGCAACCAACTTTAGATTTACCAGAACTATGTATTATGAGGACCTATAGTAGATAAACTATAAAATCAATCTGTATACAATCATGAAGACCCTTGTACTACATATTTGTTGGTAGATCTAAAGGAAATTGCACATTGTACTTCCTATGTCCATCAATGGACTTCAAGAAAAGAATTTTACTGCGAGTAACCCAATACTATTTTAAAACATTTACACAAATGGAAAAATTACTTACTTTCCATAATTACATTTCTACATATTATATAACTAACAACATAAAAATAGTGATTTAGTTTCAACTGAATGGAACCGACTGATATGGGTTGAAGTACATGATTGTCTTTGAATGCCTATTATATAAAGCATATGAGAGCTGGCATATGAAAAATTGAGTAAATGTAACTGTGGGTAATAGCAGCTAATTTTATTGCTTGTTTAAAGCCCAGTGGAGGCCGTAGGTAATCAATACACAGTTTACATTCCCATTACAGCAACTGTGCAGATAGTCTATACATGACTTTCCAGTCCAATAGGAACCAGAGTGTTACCCATGACTCACTGTAATCAGCTCTCAGTTAAGCAGCCCATAGATTTATGCAATTTTCTTTCCTTCCACCACTGCTTGATTCCCCCATCAACACAGTCAGTGTAGATGAGGGAATCCCACCAGCAGTGCTATTGTGTTCTGCCGCTGGGGAGCATTCCCTGCCGGCAGAACACAATTATTACAGCTAGCAGCTATAGCCACTGACAGCAAATACATGAAATAATTTGGCAGGCTGGTTGTACTAAAGTCAATTGATGGATCAACTACAGTACAGCCTGCCCATAGATGGAATGAATCTTGGCCAGTCCCTGCTGAACCAGCCGAGATTCAATCCATCTATGGCTAGCTTTGCTTTCTGTATCTGACAAACCCTGTACTCTTCTCTGCAATACAAGTCTACTTAAAGTGTTACTAAACCCAGGGCCCTGCATTCACTATATCTGGTCTCCCACAGTACACACAACATGGAAATTAAATTTTTTAAGTAAATATAAACTGCTAAATACCTTTTCTGATCAGCAATTAGAGCAGTCTTGTGACTTATTTCAGTGTTAAAGCTTGTAGGAGGAGTTTTTATTCTGCTGTAGGAGGATGCAGGACCCCTGACCTCTGTCTGGACAGTGCTGATTGGCCCTGTGCTGATCACATGCACTCTCCCAAAACAAAACAAAAAACCTCTCTAGCAATACATATTAAACTGAGCATGTGCGGAGTGACTCCACACCATATGTCTTATCGGAAGATAAGAGGGGGGCAGTGGAAGAAGGGGAAGATCAGAGAAGTGAAGATCAAACAGCCTTTGTACACAATGCAGAGGATTAACCCCTTAGGTTCCACAGTGAGTATAACAAGCATGCTTTACTGCATATACAGACTGATTTTACTGTTGTGGGTTTAGTAACACTTTAAAGCACAAAGCTGGTTCACACCTGACTGTAGTGTGGGAAAGGTGCATTCTATGGGCATTTCCTGCACTACAAATGAACATGCTGCCCTTGCATGTGGTTGCTAATGTATTGCTAATGGCACCCCAAGCGCAGATCACAAGTGAAGTTCATCTGAGAGCATCAAATTGCATAATACCATAGTACCATGCAGTTTGGTGCAGTGCTTTTTTAAAAGTAGTGCAAACACTACTTTTTCCGTGATCCAGTGTATTTTGCAGCACCTTCAAAGGAATGGGCTGTTAAAACTCACCGCACAGGAATGCATGCATTCCTATGCGATCCCGATGTAAACCGGCCCTGAGTGTGTGGCTGTTACACAACTCTGCTGGCATAAAGCACGTGTGAAAGCTGAGAACTCTTTTCACTGAGAGAAGAGTGTTTTAAAGCAGGCCTTTACCCCCAACACACAAAATTCAGTGGTGCTTGTTAGTCCATAAACATCATTAGTCTTTTAGAATACATTTTTTTTGTCCTGCTTCCCTGGTTTCTCTGAGGCACTGGTGCTATCAAGAGAGCTTGTACCTGCTCTCATGCTAGGTAGATGTTAGCTTTTTTTTCAATCAGACAGTCTTTATGAAACTTTTCTTTTTTCTTTTCCATTTTCACAACAAAACATACAAAAAATATACACTTCACATTAACCAAACTTTTTAGCTCCAATTATCTTAATATTTAAACATTTCATAGTCGACAATATATGCATATATATTTACCAACATACTCCATTGCCCTCTTGAAGCTCTATCCCTTCAAGTGTCTTAAACAAAATTATATACAACAAATAAATATTAAGTGATTTTCGTATTATTTAAATACACCCTTTATTTAAGACTGTCTAAAAATCAAAGAGATTTTCCCAATTTCCTCAAAGATTCCATTTCCGTATTAGTTCATTATTCAACTTTCCGAGTGTACAATATCCTTTCACCCCTATTTATATCTTGTGAACGCTTTTTACCATTCTGGAATTTCTTCTTGAAATACATTATATAAGGTAAGTATAGCAGATGAAGAGTTAGGAAACAATAGAGAGGAATTCTCTTGTAAAGCGATTTTGACCTGAAAATTGCTTAGAGTCTAAGGGCTCATACACACTCATGCCGCTGCTAGGGGCATCTGTTTTTTTTTTTAATGTTTCTGAAAGCAGCTGTAGGTTTTATAATGTGCATTTTGTAGGATTTTTTCTTTTGGTGGGTCGGGATTGGCATTGTTCATTGCAATTGACATGGATATTCATAATTGGACCACGTGATTAATAATGGATGTGCATTGTGGAAATTTTTTTGTTTTTTAAATTTTTTTATGAAAGGACTTGTCAAAAAGTGTGCTGTCATTATATATTGTTGACATTTTTTTGTGTGAATGAGTAGGGCTATGTACTCTTTACTCATTCACTTGGATGTATCTGAGGTCCCCATTATCTTAAAGGGGGATTTCAGATCCTGATAAGCCCCCTGCCTACAGACCCCCACAACCATTAGAGTTGTAGGGAAGAAGCCTTGTACTCATCACTGGGAACAAAGTGCCTTGCCAGGGGGACCACTGTTTTGGCAGTCCCCCCCCTCTCCCCATGTTGAAGGCATGTGAACTAGTTTGGTTTAAGAAGACATGTGTTTGCCCCCCCCCCCCCTTTCCTGGTCAGTGAGGCTACATGCTCAGATAAGGGGTTTTTGAATGGGTTTGGAGGGTGGGTGTTCCTGCTTTCATTTTTTTTTTTTTTTTTCTTTTGATATCATTTCTAGGTGAATTGCTATGGAGAATTGAAGGTCATCATCCTAATGGGGTTATACCATACAATTGCTCAGTTCAAGAACTTGGTTGGCTTTAAGCAAATCAAGGTATAACCCTGATTGAAAGGAAACTTGCATAGTATCAAGTTATATTCTGCTTGCATTTTCTTGTTTTATTTGTAAACCCAAAAATGTCCTCTTATTTTTTATTTTTTTTGTAAATTGCTTTTACTTATAATGCATTGAAATCTATCTTGCTTAGCTCCCTCAATACCAGTCAAAGGCTCTCGCAACTATACATACTACTTGTCACGTACATGATGTCCCACAATGGAGAGGCTCAGCCAATTTCAGACTCCATCATTGGCTGACTGGTACTGTCACGTACCTCATGGGAGACTGAAATGACGAGGTTGGCCTCACTTGCGTCACTGGCCTTGACCCCACTGGAGTTGGAACAGAGGGAGTCTAGGACCCAGGGGAACAAGAGTGCCAGTAGTTGTTGTTTGCAGCTTTTGCAGATGATGACCTTAGAAGGCTGATGATCCTCTGATTTTGGCACAGTAGTAGTAGGCAGAGCAGGTTTTGTAGATTGCCAGGCGTGCACCAGAGCAAGGCAAGTAGTGAGGACAAGAGACAGGAGCAATGTCATGGAATAGCCAGGGTCATCAAGAGTCGGGCAGCATGGTACAGAATCAGAAGGAAAAGCCAAGATCAGGAGCAGAGCCGAAGTCAGGAACCAGTATCAGGAGAGCAATCAGAGTCAGGTGAGGAACAAGCCGGGTCAGCAACAAAGGAATCACACAAGAACAAGCAGGACACGGAGGAGCTGAAGACCAGTCAGCACTGAACATGAGCAGAGGCACTCCTTAAATAGGCTGTCTGGCGCCAATCATCGCCGTGCGTGTGCGCGATCGCGCATTCCCGCGTGCATGCGCACAACCGGCAATTTTTCTGCGGGAATTCCTATGCGCATGCTCATTTCTGATCACGATTCTTCTTGCCAGAAATCCCTTACATTGCCCTCCCCTTAGGGGAAGCCTTCAGATGCCCACTAGGGCTCGTTTGTCAGCGTGAAGATGGAGATAGGCTTGAACTATCCGTGGGGCATGGACATTAGTGGATGGTTCCCAGGAATTATCCTCTGGTCCATAACCTTTCCATTTGATGAGGAACTGGGTCTGTCCGCCCCTCTTCCTACAATTCAAGATAGCCTCAACCTTGTACTCTTCATTTCCCTCAACCAGCAGTGGAGCAGGCGCCTCCGGATCTCGATTGGGAAACCCACTTGGGATATGCGGTTTTAACAAGGAGCAATGGAACACCGGGTGAATATTCATATTAGCAGGTAGTTTCAATTCAAAGCCACAGGGTTAACCTTTCTCTTGATAGTAAATGGTCCCAGGTATCTTGGACCAAGCTTTCTTGAAGGACAACTTAATTTTGGATTTGCCATGGATAACCAGACTTTATCCCCTTGTTTCAGTTTTAAGTTGCCCCTTTTCCTTCTGTCAAAAAAATTTTTGTTACTCGCCTGAGCTTCGGAAATAGTTTTCTGCAATAATTTGCCATTCCTCCTGAGGAACTCCATCCTTTCTTGTACTGCCGGGACAGCGGGTTCCACTGGTATTTCCGGAAGGTATCCATAGTTGGAGTAAAAGGGGGATTGCTTGGTAGCCGAATGAATGGAATTATTGTACGCGAACTCTGCTAACGGAAGGAGAGATACCCAGTCATCCTGTGAATATGAGAAGCATCGGAGGTATTGCTCCAGAGTTTGGTACTTTCTTTCCATTTGTCCATTAGTTTGTGAGTGATATGCAGAGGAAAAGCGTAATTCAATCTCTAATGCCTCACACAGAGCTTTCCAAAACTTGGATGTAAATTGTACTCCTCGGTCAGATACAATATTAACCACTTGCCTACCAGGCACTTATACCCCCTTATTTACCAGGCCAATTTTCAGCTTTCAGCGCTGCCGCAATTTGATTGACAATTTGCGCGGTCATGCAACATTGTACCCATATGAAATTTTGATCATTTTTTTCTCACAAATAGAGATTTCTTTTGGTGGTATTTAATCGCCGCTGGGCGCTTTACTTTTTGCGCTATAAATAAAAAATGCAAAAAATTTGAAAAAAAAAAAAAACGTTTCTTTGTTTCTATTATAAAATTTTTCAAACAGGTATTTTTTCTCCTTCACTGATGTACGTTGATGAGGCAGCACTGATGGGCACTGATAGGCGGCACTGATGGGCACTGATAGGCAGCACTAAAGGGCACTGATAGGCAGTACTAATGAGGTGGCACGGATAGGCGGCACTGATAGACAGCACTAATGAGGTGTCACGGATAGGCGGCACTAATATGCAGCACTGATAGGTGGCACTGATAGGTGACACTGATGATGGGTACTGAGAGACGGCACTGACTGGCATCACTGCTGGGCACTGACTGGTGGCACTGACTGGCAGCACTGCTGGGCTGCACTGGTGGTTGGCACTGGTGGGCAGCACTGGTGGGTGGGCACAGGTGGGTGGCACTGGTGGGCACAGGTGGGTGGCACTGGTGGGCACAGGTGGGTGGGCACAGGTGGGTGGCACTGCTGGGCACAGGTGGGTTGCACTTCTGGGCACAGGTGTGTGACACTGCAGAGTGGCACAGGTGGGTGCACTGCTGGGCACAGGTGGGTGCACTGCTGGGCACAGGTGGGTGATCTGCTGGGCACAGGTGGGCGGAGCCAGTGGGCGCACTGCTGGGCACAGGTGGGCGGAACTTGCGGGTGGCACTGCTGGGCACCGATCATCAGGGCACTGATCATCAGTGCCCTGATGATCGGTGCCGATCCCCGCTCTGACAACTGCCGGTTCTCGGCAGTACTTTCCTCACGATCTGACAGCGTGAGGAAAGTGCAGCCGAGAACCGGCACTTGCCTTTCCCTCTGATCAGCGTGTCATTGGACACCGCTGATCACGTGGTAAAAGGTCGCTGTGATCGGCCTTTTACCACATCACGTGATCAGCTGTGTCTGTAGGACACAGCGATCACGGAGATCGCCGGTGCGCGCCCCCTGGGACGCGCAGGAGCCGGTGCCGATCGGTGCCGATCCCCGCTCTGACAACTGCCGGTTCTCGGCAGTACTTTCCTCACGATCTGACAGCGTGAGGAAAGTGCAGCCGAGAACCGGCACTTGCATTTCCCTCTGCTCAGCGTGTCATTGGACACCGCTGATCACGTGGTAAAAGGCTGTGATCGGCCTTTTACCACATCACGTGATCAGCTGTGTCCGTAGGACACAGCGATCACGGAGATCGCTGGGTGCGCGCCCCCTGGGACGCGCAGGAGGGCGCGTTCTGGGAGGCCGTCATATGACGTCCACCCAGAACTGGCCGGCCGCAGTGCAGCCGTCATTCGGCTATCTGCGGTCAGCAACTAGTTAATAGGAACGCCATGTAGTCTTACGATCTCTTTGATAAAAGCAGAAGCAGTTTCCGTGATGGAAGGAGTCCCTTTCAAGGGAATGAAGTGAGCCATCTTTGACAGGCGGTCAACCACTACAAAAATAGTGGTGAATCCCTTCCGATGGGGGAAGTTCCACAATAAAGTCCATGGATATCATACTCCAAAGTTTTTCCGGTACGGGCAAAGATTCCAACAGGCCCCAGGTCTTGGCTTTGTCAGATTTGTTTCTTGGCAATCCTTTATTGCGTTTGGCCACCAGAAGGAGCGAGAGACCAAATTTGAAGTCTTATGAATCCCGAAGTGACCTGCTAAGGGGTGATCGTGACATCTTTTTAGGAAAGGAGTCCTGAGTTCTTTTGGCACAAAGATTTGTTCCTTGTGAAAATACAGACCGTCCTTTAACTGCATGCATATCTATGGGAGGTGGATGATTATCCACTACTTCTCTTATTTGTGTTACGAGGTCAGTCTGGAGAAGTAAGAAATTCTTGGCTGGCAAAATCGTGTCAGGTTCAGACTGTACAATTGGGTCGGGAAACATACGGGAGAGTGTGTCAGGTTTACCGTTTTTTAATCCAGGACGGTACGTCAAATGGAAGACAAAGCGGGAGAAAAAGAGTGCCCATCTTGCTTGTCGTGGCCTGAGTTGTTTTGCCATTTTCAGGCACTCAAGGTTTTTATGGTCTGTGAAGATAAGAATAGGGTGGGATGCTCCCTCCAGTAAGTAGTGCCATTCTTCCAGTGCTGCCTTGATGGCTAGCAACTCTCTGTCTCCCACATCATTGTTCCTTTCAGTGACATTTAGTTTCCTTGAGAAAAATGCAACAGGGTGCAGAAGGGTGTACAAATAAAAAGTGGGCTAATTATTCACAAAACATGCAAGGATAAATAATAAAAATAAATCAATTCATAAATATAAACATAAGTCCAGCCACCATAACAGTGATAGTCCAATATCAACTTAATGTCAATCTTGAAAACAAACACCCATGTGCAAATCTGACACCAGATGAAACGAATACACTCACCAGAGCTATATGCTGATTATATTATAAACCAGCATGATAGCATTTTGCTCTGGGAGCGATGATCTGCAGGATAACGCAGTAGAGGAACAGCAACCAATAGTGATCCAATCAGCACATATGGAACAGCTAGCCAGCACATATGGAACAGCTAAGCAGCAAATGATCTTCCAATAACATGGGCAAAGCTCGAGGAATAGGAAGAGATATGATGGTGCAGTACGTTTAAAACCAGTAAAATTTTATTAATAAAGTATTGCATTCACAAAGAAGGTGTCTAGCCGACACCAGCAATGACAGCCTCTAAAATGCCACATCCACAAGGGAAAAACCAAGGGATGAACCTCCTGCACTGCGATCAACACAGCCGACAGCTGGGAGGAACGTTCCAACGTCACGTCCACTAGGCCAGGCCCAACGCGTTTCGTCACTTGATGTCTTCAAGGGGCGGAGTGGATATCAGACGTCTGCTCATAAAATATATACCCTTTCCGCATACGAGATCAGCTGCAGTCGATCAGCACATCAATCTGATACCAAACTACAGCTCAATCTCCGCAGTCAATAGGAATATGTGGCAATAACATATAACAGCAAATTGATGTGGCATAATCAAATGGTCATAATGAAAATAACATATAAATACACAAATGGTCCTATGGAAATATAGGTGAGTATTAAACATATATATATGCTAAGAGTGGTAGTAGAAATATACATAATCTCAAACCTTCATCAGAAGGATGATGATAACAAAACAACATAGAACTCTGTATAAAAAACTACCACCAAAGACAAACAATAAAGATAATATGTATGGGGATAATAACCCATAATCTGCTCATATAGAGGGCCAAACATTGGAATGGTACCCCATCCACAAATCTAACCATCCTTAATTTAACCTCGAGAGGTATAAGGAAATCCCCAATAACATCTAGCTTAACCTCCAAGGGATATAAAAATTTCCCAATTTAAAAAATGCACCAGTATTATTCGGTCTAAAATTCGCTCAAAAAATCAAATAATCCATTAAGAAAAAATTTGATAAAAAAAAAGATCGACCTATAAAAAAATTTGATCAAAAGTTGATCGACCCACAAAAATAGTAAACCATATTCTAAATTAAATGGAACAAGCGAGATATTATAGTAAGATAAAAAATGCAATCCACCAATCGAATGATCATTATAGAAATTAGATCAAAAAATGATCGATCTACAAAAAAAAAAATTGATCGACCTACAAAAATTATAAACCGTAATCTGAACTAAATAAAACAAAATAAACGAAATGACCTCAAAAATTGGTCAAGAAACAGTTTAGATCAATATCGATGTTTAATCCATTGGGTTTTAAAGTATTAAGTGAATAAATCCAAAATGTTTCTCTTTTAGAGGTTTCATTAATCATGTCAGTGCCTCTCCAGTGTTTATTAATCTTATCAATACCATAGAAGGGTGCAGAAGGGATTTGAGTCCCTGTCTTTGTGACAAGATGGCTCCTACAGCATTCTCCGAAGCGTCCACTTCGAGGACAAAGGCTAGAGCAGGGTTTGGATGCTTCAGTATAGGTGCGGAGATGAACAAGGTCTTTAATTGTTCAAAGGCTGCTTGGGCCTCGGGAGTCCACTTGAAGGGAATATGCTGCCTGGTGAGCTGTGTTACTGGTGCTCCCAGAGAAGTTTTTGATAAATTTCCTGTAGAAATTTGCGAATCCTACAAAGCGCTGCACTGCTTTCCTGTCTCCTGGCATGGGCCATTCTAAGACGGAGGACACCTTTTGGGGGTCCATAGAGATGCCCTCTATCAAATTCACATTTCTCGGCCTTTGCCGAGATGCGATGTTGGCGTAATCTATCCAGAATCTTCTTTACGTGATCCCGATGGCTTTCTATTGAGCTGGAGAAAACTAAGATGTCATCCAGGTAAACGATTATGAATAGATCCAGATAGTCCCTAAATATATAATTTACAAGGTGTTGGAAGGTTGCTGGGGCATTACAGAGACCAAAAGGCATTACCAAGTATTGAAAATGCCCGAATCGGGTTCGAAAGGCCGTCTTCCATTAGTCACCTTCACAAATTCTCACTAGATTGTAAGCGCCCCTCAGATCCAATTTTGAGAAGAAACCTGCTCCTCGCAGCCTTTGGAATAACTCTAAAATTAGAGGAAGGGGATAATGATTCTTGACCGTTATCTTGTTTAGGTCACGGTAGTCCACACAAGGTCTAAGGGTGTGATCCTTCTTCTCAACAAAGAAGATGCCAGTTCCTGCTGGTGATGTAGAATGCCGAATAAACCCTTTTTCTAGACTCTTATAAATTTAACCCCGGAGGACCTCTAATTCGACTTCGGATAGGGGGTAAATTCGTCCGAAAGGAATTTCGGCGCTGGGCAGGAGCTCAATCGGACAGTCATAGGAATGATGAGGAGGAAGAGTATTGGCACTCTTTTTATTGAATACGTCCAGATACTCATGGTACACCACAGGAACGAGTTTCATGGTCTCAGGATCAGAGTGAATACTGAGAAGAGGGGTTTCTGCACTTGTTTCTTTAGGGATACAGTGATTCAGACAGTATTCCGAAGGGAAGAGGATCTCTCCAGACAACCAATTGATGGTTGGGTTGTGTGCTCTTAGCCAGGGCATGCCGAGAATAACTGGAAAAATCGGGGAGGTAATGATATCCAGACATAGAAATTCCTGGTGTCCTGAGGGGGGTAGCATAACATTGGCATGGTTTCTTGTGTCACAGGCCAGAACTGATACCGGACCCATCTGCAAGATGAACTGCAAGTTTTTGTGCCTTGGTACGGAGCAGAATCTTATTCTGGGTAGCGAAGTTAGCATCCATAAAACAACTACAAGCACCCGAGTCTAAAATGGCTGGGACCGTGATTGTCCTTTCGGCCATTTGTAGTTGAAGATGGAAGAAGAGATGCATTCGGCTTGTTCCTTGGGGATGCATCATATAGAACCAGTTGGGAGAGGGCTTATGAGGTTTTATTGGGCATGTCGCCACATAATGACCTGCGTCACCACAGTAGAGGTAGAGACTGAACTTCTGTCATCGAATGCGTTCTGCCGCGGACAAATGTGGTCTCCAAAAGCTCCTCCTAGATGAATTAGTGGGCGATTCTGATGGAACAGCATTTGTAGAGGGCACGGAGGTCCCTATTTCTGAACATATCAGAATCTCCCCGTTAGTTTTCTCATCCTGTCTTTCCCGAATCCAATGGTCATTGTGGATCATCAGATCTATCAGGTTCTCCAACCTGGTTGGTACCCCCACTCGGGCAAGCTCATCCTTCAGGGTGTCAGAAAGACCAAGACGGAGCTGGTAGCGGAGAGCAGACTCGTTCCACTGAGTATCGGTACTCCAGATGCGGAACTCAGTAACATATTCTTCCACAGGCCTTTGGCCTTGCTGTAGCTTACTAAGCATAGATTCAGCGGTTTGATGCAGGAAAGGATCAGCATAGATTTGTGCCATTGCTCTGAAAAAAGAGTCCACTGAAGTTAGAGCCGGATCATGTTGCTCACAAAGGTGGTATGCCCAGGATTGTGGTTCATTCCTAAGAAGTGTGATGATGAATCCCACTTTGGTGCTTGGTGATGTAAAGGTCCTTGGAAGCAGCGAAAAATATAACTCGCAGGAGTTCCGAAAAGTTATGAACTTCCTGCGGTCTCCTGTAAAAAACTCAG